GCAAAGAATCTGTTGTGCAGATTCTGTTTTGTATATATCACAATAGCTCATAGAACTTTACGTAAATTAATTAGTTGTCTGTTTTATCTTTATCACATAGTATTTATAGGAATAATTATTCCCTTAATTTCTAGGCTAAATTAGCTCTTCCCTCTCAACCCTATGTACTATATATACATCTTATGTATTATCAATCAAAAACATGAATATAAAAACATATTTCTACACAATATCAATTTCTAAAAAACTTCAGTTGTTCAACTCAGATGAAAATCAAAAGTCATCATTGGATTGGGGTAAGCGTTTTGAAATTATTTGTGGAATTGCCTGAGGTGTGTTATATCTGATAGAGTTAGTTGTTAATTGTTTGTCAGTTTGCTTAATAAATCCTAGTATTTAGGAGGACCTATTCTTTAGGAGTTTAGTTAGTGTTTTGATTATTTCCACTGCATTATAGGGCTGTTAGATGCAGTTGCTATTTACTCTCTCAGTCACGTTGTATTGAATATATATAGCCTCAGTTTGCTATCATTGAATAACATCTCCTTTCCAATTGCTATAACAGTTTCTGAGTTTTAACAATTGGTACCAGCGCTCTGTAAAGGGACTGGTTGTGTGAAAAGGTGTGAGTGAAACAGAAAGAGAGAGAGAGAGAGAGCAGAATGTCAACATCAGAGAGGTTCCTGCAACCCTCCATCCCAAAATTCGATGGCCATTACGATTTTTGGACGATGACGATGGAGAACTTTCTGAGAAGTAAGGAGATGTGGAGTCTGGTGGATGAAGGAATACCGGCACCGGCAATTGGGACGTCATCAGCAAATGAGGCACAGAGGAAGATGGTGGAGGAAGCCAAACTCAAAGATTTGAAGGTCAAAAACTATCTATTCCAGGCAATAGATAGACAAATTCTAGAGACAATTCTCGACAAAGGGACGTCGAAGGCAATCTGGAATTCAATGAAGCAGAAGTATCAAGGATCCACTAAGGTGAAAAGGGCTCAACTTCAGGCACTAAGAAGAGAGTTTGAACTTCTCGCCATGAAAGAAGGAGAAAAGGTAGACAGTTACCTGGGTCGAACCTTGTCTACAGTAAACAAAATGAAGTCGAATGGCGAGACAATAGAGCAGAGTACAGTGGTCAGTAAGGTACTTAGATCTTTGACTCCTAAATTCAATTATGTTGTTTGTTCAATAGAGGAGTCAAATGATTTAAGTACGTTAAGCATCGACGAATTGCACGGGAGTCTGTTGGTTCAAGAACAGAGGATGCAGGGCTATCATGAGGAGGAACATTTGTTGAAAGTGGCTCATGAAGACAGAGCAGGTAGGGGAAGAGGTCGAGGCGCATTCAGAGGAGGGCGCGGTCGAGGTAGAGGTAGACAACCTCTAAGCAAAGCAACCATTGAGTGTTTCAAATGTCATAAGTTGGGACACTTTCAATATGAATGTCCTGATTGGGAAAAGAAAGCAAATTATGCCGAGTTAGAAGAAGAAGAAGAGGAGCTTTTGTTGATGTCATATGTAGAGCATCATGAAACAAAGAGGGACAAGGTGTGGTTCCTCGACTCAGGATGCAGTAATCACATGACCGGGAATAGAGAATGGTTCCTTGATCTGGAAGAAGAGTTTAGCCGAACAGTAAAACTCGGGAATGACACAAAAATGGCAGTGGCTGGAAAAGGAAGCATAAGAGTGGAAGTGAATGGCATAACCCAGGTGATCTCTGATGTTTACTATATTCCTGAGCTTAAAAATAATTTATTAAGCTTGGGACAACTTCAAGAGAAGGGAATAGCAATCTTGATTCAAAATGGGACTTGCAAAGTGTTTCACCCTAAGAGAGGTTTGATTATGCAAAGTGATATGAGTGGGAACAGAATGTTCTTTGTGTTAGCCTCCATGGAAACAAAGAGCTCTATGTGCTTAAAGACTGAAGAAGTAGCTGAAAAAGAAGCTCACATGTGGCACTGCCGGTTTGGGCACTTGAACCACAAGGGATTGAGAATGTTGTCTATCAACAAGATGGTAATTGGTTTACCTTTGCTGAAAAATCCAGAGAAGATATGCACCACATGTTTGTCTGGCAAGCAACATAGAGAGCCCATACCCAAGAAAAGCTTATGGAGGGCATCAAAACCGCTTCAGCTAATCCATTCAGATATATGTGGTCCTATCACGCCAACTTCTAGCAGCAACAAGAGATACATTTTAAGTTTTATCAATGACTTTACTCGTAAAACTTGGGTCTATTTCTTGCATGAAAAATCAGAAGCTTTTGTCACATTCAAAAACTTCAAGGCTTGTGTTGAAAAGGAGACAGGCGCATACATAACATGTTTGAGGACAGACAGGGGTGGTGAGTTCAACTCAAATGAGTTTGAAGAATTTTGTCGATCACAAGGCATCAGTAGGCAATTGACAGCAGCCTATACCCCCCAGCAGAACGGCGTTGCCGAGAGGAAGAACAGGACAATTATGAATGTTGTTCGATCCATGCTAAGTGAGAAAAAAGTTCCCAAAACATTCTGGCCGGATGCTGTGCGGTGGTGTGTGCATATTCAAAATCGATGTCCAACAGTAGCAGTTCAGAATACAACACCAGAAGAGGCATGGAGTGGTAAGAAACCAGTGGTGGAGTATTTTCGAATCTTCGGTTGTGTAGCACATGTCCATGTGCCAGATCAAAAAAGGAGCAAGTTGGATGATAAGAGCAAAAAATGTATTTTTTTAGGTGTCAGTGAAGAATCAAAAGCTTGGAGATTATGTGATCCGGTTTCGAAGAAAATCATCATCAGTAGAGATGTAATTTTTGAAGAAGAAGAAAGCTGGGATTGGGGCAGAACACACAAGGAGATCAAGGGGGATCTATTAGAATATGGTGATGGTATCATTGAAGATGAAAGTGATGATCAGATTGAAGAAGAAAGTGGTGAAACAAGAAATTCAGGCAGCAACTCAAATGAGGAAAATCCAAGTACACCTGAAGTGCTTGACGCAACTGGAGAATTGGTTGAAAGGAGGGGAGCACGAGAAAGAAGAGCACCAGGTTGGATGGAAGCTTATGAAACAGGGGAAGGACTTTCAGAGGAAGAGAATCTCAATGTAATGTTGGCAGTCACTGATCCTGTTACATTTGAAGAAGCAAATAAAAGCAAGAAATGGAGGGAGGCAATGTCAGCAGAAATTGAGGCCATAGAAAAGAATCATACTTGGGAGCTTACAATATTGCCTAAAGGAGTCAAGCCTATCGGAGTTAAGTGGGTGTTCAAGACTAAGCGTAATGAAGTTGGAGAAGTAGAGAAATTCAAAGCAAGATTGGTTGCAAAAGGTTATGCGCAACGTCATGGAATAGATTACACTGAAGTATTTGCTCCGGTGGCGAGGCTTGACACCATTCGTGTGATACTTTCAATGGCTGCTCAGTTCAGTTGGGAGGTCTTTCAACTCGATGTAAAGAGTGCCTTTCTTAATGGTGAACTCAAGGAGGAAGTGTTTGTGCAGCAGCCACATGGATTCATTAAAAAGGGAGAAGAAGAGAAAGTCTACAAGTTGAGGAGAGCACTTTACGGACTAAAACAGGCACCGCGAGCGTGGTATAGCAGAATTGAAGTCTACTTTGTGCATGAAGGGTTTGAAAGATGTCCAAATGAGCACACCTTGTTCACCAAGATAAAAGGAGGTAAAATTTTGATAGTTAGCCTATATGTTGATGATTTGATTTTTACCGGGAATGACAGAAGCATGTGTGACGAGTTTAAAGCTTCAATGATGTCAGAATTTGATATGTCTGATTTTGGAAAAATGAAATATTTCTTGGGGATAGAAGTCAAACAGTGTTCGAATGGAATATTCATATGCCAGAGAAGGTATGCATGGGAAGTATTAGCAAGGTTTGGTATGGAAAATAGCAATGCAGTCAAGAACCCAATAGTGCCAGGTACAAAGCTGTACAAAGATGAGGATGGAGTTGGAATTGATGAAACTCTATACAAGCAAATGGTTGGAAGTCTCATGTATTTGACTGCGACTAGGCCTGACTTAATGTATGGTGTTAGCTTAATAAGCAGGTTCATGACAAGTCCTACTATGTCACATTGGCTCGCAGCAAAGAGAATTTTGAGGTACTTAAAAGGTACAGCAGATCATGGAATTTTCTACAAAAAGGGGGATAGCAACTTGAAACTTTTGGCATTTACGGATAGTGATTATGCCGGTGACTTGGATGATCGAAGAAGTACATCCGGATTCGTATTTATGTTGGGAGCTGGAGCTGTTTCGTGGGCATCAAAGAAACAACCGGTGGTTGCTCTGTCTACTACAGAGGCAGAATATATAGCTGCGGCGATGTGCGGTTGTCAGTGTGTTTGGCTCAGGAGGATATTGGAGAAACTTGGGATTGAAGAGAAGACTAGTACGGTGATCATGTGTGATAACAGCTCTACCATACAGTTATCGAAGAATCCGGTGTTTCATGGTAAGAGTAAGCATATTGATGTAAGATTTCACTTCCTTAGAGACTTGGTGAATGATGGAGTCATTAAACTGAGCTACTGCAACACTCAAGAACAAATTGCCGACATTATGACAAGCCACTGAAATTAGAGCAGTTTGAGAAGCTTCGCAGCATGCTTGGAGTGACTGAAGTTACAGTAGAAAGCTAAGATGCATTAGTTTAAGGGAGGGAATGATAGAGTTAGTTGTTAATTGTTTGTCAGTTTGCTTAATAAATCCTAGTATTTAGGAGGACTTATTCTTTAGGAGTTTAGTTAGTGTTTTGATTATTTCCACTGCATTATAGGGCTGTTAGATGCAGTTCCTATTTATTCTCTCAGTCACGTTGTATTGAATATATATAGCCTCAGTTTGCTATCATTGAATAACATCTCCTTTCCAATTGCTATAACAGTTTCTGAGTTTTAACAATATCTTCATCAATATTCAAGGCTGAAAATAATTCATAGAGATCAAAAAGCTAGCAACGTTCTCCTTGATGCTGCAATGAATCCCAAAATCTCAGATTTTGGTATGGCTAGAATATTTGGAGAAGATGAAATCCAAGCAAGAACTAAAAGAGTGGTCGGAACATAGTATGTGTCATATACCCTTATAATCATCTAGATTAAAGAGATGGATATGTATTTTTTATGATGGTCTAACTATTGTGTACAATTGCAGTGGATATATGGCCCCAGAATATGCAATGGAAGGACGATATTCAACAAAATCTGGTGTCTTCAGTTACGGGGTCTTGCTGCTAAAAATCATTGCTGGCCAAAGAAACACTCATTGTGAAACAGGAAGAGCATCCCCAAATTTAATTGAACATATAAGTTATAAAAATAAAGAGGTAGTCCAAAAATTGGCCATCAGTTTATTGATATTTGATGTATTTGTAGGTGTGGATACTATGCACAGAAGAAAAGGCCTTGGATATAGTTGATCTAGCACTAAACCAGTCTTATCCTTCTGATATAGTTCTGAAATGCATTCAAATTGGACTATTGTGTGTGCAAGAAAATGCCATGAATAGACCATCAATGCTAGAAGTTGTTTTCATGCTAGCCAATGAAACACCTCTCTTCCCACCTCAAAAACCTGCAACTACCATCATTGGTCGCTAAAAGCTACCTTATTAAAATGTAATCTTTGTGTTCATACTTTTTCATTAGAATTCAGTTTGTAGACATTTTAGAGGTTCTTTATAAATACAAAAATGTGTAGTCACTTTGTGGTATTGTGAAAATGAATATTCAAGTATGTCTCAATAAGCTTATCAGTTGGAATTGGTCTTCAACACAATTTTTTAGCAGTGGTTTGACGAATATAAGGTAACTCATATCTTCCGATCACAAAAATGCAACTAATATAAATTGAATTAGTTAAATAACTATATATACTAGACTTGGTGTTTGGTATTAAAAAAAACTGATTTGCTAGACCAATTGATCATACGTATAAAATATATAAGATCTTTGATCATTGATCACAAAGGGGTTTTTCTGCCATTGAAAATTTCAAGAGTTTATAGAATATATAGTAACAAAATAAAATGTTTCTACACAATTATCCAATTAAATTCTCAAAGATAAAAAGAAAGTAACAGTAATTCATACTATTATAATAACAGGACTTTTACATTTTCCGTGCATTTATATACGTACAACAATGACTTTAATTTACATAAAGGAGTACTTCAGTAAAATACAACTGTGAAGCTGTGTTAGTCCCGTGTTGGTTGACATTGAAAATAAAGACAATATAACTTTGGAGACGCAATACGCAACAGCTTAAGATTTTGGATCAAGACATGGTCACTCATTTTTGTGGTTTCTCACTCATCTCTTACAAGTAAGATGATGATTTCAACTTTACCTCCTTGTAAGAATCTAGATTGAGAGTATTATGGCGTACCTTATTGCAGTTTCGTTTACAAGTATACAGCACACTAGCATCATACAATAATCGTGGCTTTTAGCGAGCTTCAATCATAGTCATACTTACATCATTCACAGAGTAAATTCCTTCACTGGTTGATGGATTTGAACTCTCATAGTTACTTTTCTTGAAAATAAATGCTGGTTGTTTTGGAGTAGGAAGAGTTGAGTCATTTCCCAACATAGATACAACAGCTGACATAGATGGTCGGTCAACAGCATAATCTTGTACACATAAAAGCCCAATTTGGATGCATCTTTGGACTTCAAACTCGGAGAATGACTCTCCTAATGATCGATCAACAATCTCCATGGCTTTGTCTTCTCTCCATAGATCCCATATCTGCATCAATGATTGAACTTACTAGATTAATCAAACTATATATTCAAAAAAGAATAATGGAGATTAGTTTCTAAGAAATACTAACATGCCCAACTAAATTTGTGGATGCATTGTCTTCGTATTGACCACTGTTCTTCTTTCCTGTAATAATCTCAAGCAGTAAAACTCCAAAGCTATATACATCGGACTTCACTGAAAATTGTCCTTCCATGGCATATTCTGGAGACATATAACCACTGTAAAAACAAAATATAGATAAAAGAGATCACTAAAACTACAATAGAAATATATGTAATAATGTAACATAATGGATGGAATCGAATGGGTGTGTTTCAATGAATACTTACTAGGTTCCAACGACACGATTTGTGATTGCTTCAATTTGATCTCCACCAAACATTCTAGCCATACCAAAATCTGCAATTTTTGGGTTCAATGCAGAATCCAACAACACATTGCTGGCCTTTAGGTCTCTATGAATTATTCTTAATCGCGAGTCATGATGAAGATACAAGATCCCTCTAGCAACGCCACAGATAATATCAAACCGTTTTCTCCAGTCTAGCTCTGAGCTTTTAGATTTATCTAGACAAACAATTCATGGTATAACGAGTGAATTAAGTATGTTATGTCCATTCTTTTGTAACTTTGATGTATGAAAATATCAACATAAATGGTTAGGAAATGGCATTGCTATTTATGAAAAAGTAAGAGCTTATGTAATAGTAGTGCAACAAGGTGAAAATAAACAAGACATACCAAAAATGAAAAAGTCTAAGCTTTTGTTAGGCAAATACTCATAGATTAACATCTTTTCTTCTCCTTGAATGCAGCAACCTAATATCCTCACAAGATTTCTGTGTTGCAGCTTTGAAATCAAAACAACCTCATTTTTAAACTCTTGTATGCCTTGTCCAGAATACTTTGACAGTCTCTTCACTGCAATTGCCATTCCATTGCTCAATATACCCTGAAACCAACATTCAAACTAAACTTCTTAATAACTTTTCTTTTTCTTTTTTATAGAACACTATAGATATGCCTAGAGAAATACCGCAACTAGTGCAACTAGTTGTGAAATATAAACATATGTTGAAAAATTTTCAAAATTGACATTGGTTACAATAGAACACATTAAAAACCGATGCTAAAAAAAATTAGCTACCTTATAAACAGAACCAAAACCACCTTCACCAAGCTTGTTAGCAAGTGAAAAACTGTCTGTTGCAGCAGCTATGGAGCTAAGATCAAAGAATGGTAAACTTGAATTGTTTGTACTATCAAATTCTTGCTGATTAGAGGAGTCGCCAAAGCTAAGACGAAACGAATACTTGGGATCCCTTTTCGACCCTGTCATCAAACAAGGAAACAAACACATTTGAACACATCAATAGAATCAATAATCCTCCCACAGTGACCAGTTTGTTAAAAAAATTACTCACATTGTTTCCTGGATTTCACAAACCAATACACGAAAATGATCCCTATAAACAATACCAAGCAAGAAGAAATAACTAATACTGCCACCATCCCCTTTTTTCCAAGAGAACCATATGGATGTTTTGCATACATAGCTGCAATTTACAGAAAATGCAAAATCTCATGACAAACATCATGACCAAACAAATCAAACATATAATATGAAGAACGGACACCTCGAACACGACCTCAATACTGACACTTTTGTAATAATTTAAAAAAATAAATAAATTAAACATAATCACAGATATCAGTACTGATGTCTACGGATACACACTAAATAGCTATAAGCCTGTAAGTTTAAGAATTTTTACCCAACTCATGTGCATCCACACGTGTATACAAATCTTGTCCAACTTGTGTATAAGTTCTTGTATCTTCCATGTCACCGTGCCAAGTAACACACCCACTCTCAGTTACCTCATTTTCACTTGTATACGCAACACAAGAACAATCTTCCAAACACTTCTCTCTACACTCTTTCAAACCCAAACTCTCATTCACACGTGCCTTTGAAGTATCAGGCACTTTCACACGTGCCACTTTCACAAACCCTTCCCCACTTCCACACGTGGAAACATTCCTCTTCCTCACACACCCACCCGACCCGTCTCTCAAATACCATTCCCTCGCAAACTTCGGTTCAAACCCGGGTAAACACTCACACTCAAATTTGTCCGCATTATACGGGTCACAGTTCGAGTTCGACCCGCACTGTTTGAAATCATCACATTCCTCTTTCGGACCGTACCAAATCTGAAACCATCTACGTTCGCTAGGTTGCCACGTCAGCCTCCTCACGTGACCCGTTTCTTCCAAAACCATTCTCGTTAACACCCTTGGATCCTTCACACCGTATAGTATGGAAACTTCATCTTCGTTGTTGGTGTAGCTAACGTTGAATATGAAATTTGGAGTCATTTCGGGTACTCCGCTCCATCTTTGACCCGTCCACGACCCGACTCTCCATGTTGGAGATTTATTTCTATACAGAAACAGTTGAGGAAAACCGGTCGGGTCAATCCGGTATGTCACGTTTCCGGTTCCTGGGTCATTCGGGGATTTCCAAGATGTGAGGAACCGGTTCAGACCGGTTTTACGGTCCAACCCAAGTTTCATGAAAGGAAGCATCGTGTTAGTTGGAAAATCAAAACTCTGCCACAAAATAACTTTTTCATTATTACGAGTCAAAACAAAATTTCCTGTATCCAATAGCTTAGCTGAAGAGTCACCAAATGAGGTTGAAGTAGAAAAATTGGAAGACCAAATGGGTTTAAGGTTTTTGTTATTGTTGAGGTCGTGGAGTACGAGGTTTCCGTTGATGATTGAAAGAACACCGGAAGTGTCAGTGAGAGGAGTGTCTCTGTTTGCAACCCAGACGATGGTTTGTTCTGAAATTCTGTTGTACCATATACCAAGGTATCGGGTTTTGGAATCTGGCTTCAGGCTGAAGAAACCTAGTACGAATGTTCCTCGAGGGTTGGAGACCAAAACGTCGCCGTCTTTGATTGTTTGGTTTAGCGTTATGGTATCAAGTGAGTGGCAAGAAGGGTAATAAAGCATCAAGAGAAGAAGAAATGGAGTGAGAAGAAGTTCTTTCATGGTGTCGGTTGTGAATGGCATTTGATGAATTAAAAAACATAGAGATGAACGTGTTTGATTTTGTTACGTTATCGTTTATGATGATGATGAGTTGTTTGTGATTGTTCAGGTGTGTGATTTAGACGCATAACTAGAAATTGAATGATTGGTACTACTTGGTAGTTGGTTGGTATTAAATTCGTAGGTAGTTATGTGGTTCTAGAGAGAGGCGCATAGTTTAGGAAATCTGTTTATGAAAAAGATTTTGTCTGACTTGAGCCTTCGTGGACAGTTCGTGTGTGTTGTAAAAATTAGAACCATGGATGACTTTGTTAATGTACATGTCAGGAACAAAAGGTTAATGTTCTTTTCGGAACAAGCTGCTGCATCTGTCATATCAGTAGTAGTAAGTAGTAGCATGAGATTTGTCCAATGTTTACAAGTAAATTAGTCTCGTATGCATAAGTTTGCTTTTAACATTGGATCAATTTATTTCATTACATCTCATTTGATTCGATACTACTCGAATCCGTATTATAATTTGAACTTTGTGCGACTTTTAAAAAAATATTACATAGATTAATTTTAATGATAAAATTAATATTATTTATTAAAATACTTTTATTTATTATAATTAATAAAATAATTGAAAAACGTGAAACTTAATAAATAAAAATATAATAATAAAAAATATTATATTGATATTTTAAAAATATATTTATTTTAAGACATAAAAAATATAAATAAAACATTTATTATAAGATAAAATGAGTAAGATTTATTTGTAATCTAATGAAGAAAAATAAATAGTGTAAGTTCGAAGGTCTATTTCTCTTGTATAACATAGAACTAACTAGCCAATAACATAACATATGCTCAAACCACCAAATCAGTCATTGGCTTTGTAAGTATAAGATTATGAATATTTTAAAAAAGAAATTCAGACACAGTCAAATCATTAACCCTTCAATAGTATTTCATTTGTCTCAGAAAATAATTGTTTTTTTAATATTAAAAAGTTGTTTCAAAATAATAAAATTTTTATTTTTCTAATGTAATTATAATTAATTTTTATTAATTTTACTTTTTGTATACACTCTTTCTAAGTATGATAATATTCTACAACCAATAATAATAAAAGATAATTTTGTAAAGATATTATTTTTATTGATTCAATCATTATTTTTCTTAATCTCCGTGTAACAATCTTCAACGATTATTATTTTGAGACGGATGGAGTAATACTCATTCTAATTCCATTTATAAGAAAAAAATTCATTTTTTAGATACATTGAATAAATAATGTATTTGGATAATATACTGTCCAAATATATTATTTATTCAATGTATCTAAAAAATGAATTTTTTCTTATAAATAGGACCAGAGGTAATATTAAAAACTAAATAGACTAAAATATATAGACTAACTTGTTAAGTAAATGGATCAACAAGACAATTTAAAAGAGTCATATTTTTTATTTATCATAATAAATTTTTTATATATATAATAAAGATTATACAAAAGTAGAAGGCAAACGCCAATAAGATGTGTTGCTGCCTAATTTTATATAACAAAATCAATCATCTTATATTTATTGACCTAAGAGATACAATATTATTATGCACGAGTTTTTAAACTCTTTGTAAAAGATTCATCGTCTCTAGTGTCAAAAAACCAAAAGTGTCAAAGGTGTATGGTATGAAAACATGTTGACTGTTGAAACACGTTTTCTCATATTTGATCAATTTACTTTAAGCGACTTTGAGAGATGTTTATCTCACAGTAAAACCTTTAGTCATCAGTCCCACTAGTGAGGAAATTTCAATCAAGTTTACACATGCATGTTTTCCTCTTTACTCAACCGTACACCAGAATATCTGTTGGCCTAAATGTCGATCTCCCCTCTTGTGGGTCAGTTAAGAAATTCACAGGCGCATCTTATTTCACAAATACTCTAGCACACTGAAATATATCTAATAAGACATCTTAACAAATTCATGTCGATATTTAAATTCTAGGAGCTCCCTATAATGAATCTTGGATTTCCCAAATGTATCCAAGCACGTCTTACAACAAAAAAGACAAGTTTCATCAATCGAAAAAAAGGGAATCATAAGCTGATATCTAAGGATAGTACGATACTCTATCAGTGATATGTGTTAGCCTAGCCCATCAATAATGTTATGTACTAAAACTAGATTTGATCGGACAAAGTGGATTCATTATTTGATACAATGGTCCATGGCTTCTGATGCGGTGGAGAAGAGGATAACATGCAAGGTTAGCACTCTAACACTTAAGTCATTAAGAGAGTGAAAATGGAATTTGAATAGGAATGAATTTGAATAATTGTGAAGTGGCGCGCTTTCCTCTTTAAATAAGGAAGTGGTTGGTAACTAAACAATGTGACGAGGCGTAAGATGTGGTTAGCCGTCAAATTAACCTAAACGATTAAGAGAACGCTTGCATAATTGAATGCATGTTTTGTAGGAGAAAAAATGTCCATGTGTTCCTTGATAAATGTTGCTTTGCGCTGTTATTGGCCCTTCCTTTATTTGGGCCTTGTGGGTGGCCCAGAATAGTTGCCACCAAGCCCTTGTTTCTTCTCTGCAGAGCGAGGGTTTGAAATATGTATCTTCACTTGAGCGTAAGATCCATGGACGTAGTGGTCTTTTGACGGGATGTCGTTGCTCTTGGGAATAAGCATATTTAATGGGTAACATTTTGAGGAGAGTGATTGATGCGTCCCATGTGCTAGTTAGTAATGATGTTCATACTCCTTCTAGGACACTCGAGTGTTTTAGATCGTTTTCGAGAAAATCTCTGTTGTTAATAGTGCAAAGTGATCGTACGATCCTTAGTGCTTGAATATGGTATAAAAGTTTTTCGAAGAGATGTTTTGTCCTTTCGAGTGTTGTTCACTTGTAAAATAGAGTGTCTCTGCTTCTTTATCGCTCTTTTCTAGAAACATTTTTTTCAAGAATTGATCGAGCTCAAGTGACTTCATTTTTTGGTGTTGGCCTTGCATGCTCAATTGTTCTTTTCTCTGAAATCCAACGTTCAAATTTTTATTTGTGATCTCATTCAACTTATTTAGGGTTGTGAAATAGTGAATGTTTGACCTTGCTTTCTTGATACATTGTACATGCATTTGTTCTCTGTTACAATATATTTAATCATTGTTATCGTGTCAAGTTCGATTAAGAATGACAGTAAGGATATCTCAAGAGACATGGGTGGATTCAAAGATATTGGAGGTTGTTTTCGCTTTTGTTCGTGAATACGTTTTCGATCAACCAATAATTGATTTGGGACCAACGGCTGATTGGGGAATGTTTCCCCCAGATGAAGATAAGACAATTTGCAGTCAATATGATAGGTGTGTGATCATTTTCCATGAATGTTTATTATAGATCATAAGTTATCACCTTCCCTTCAATGAATTTGAGTTAAGTTTATGGAATCATCTTCTTATAGCCCCTTCCTTGTTACATCCAATGAGTTTGTCATTTTTTGAAGTTTTTATCGCTAGTGAGAATATAAAGGAAGCAAGTCGGCGATGACATTATTCTTCCATATTTTTTAAAACTCAAAACCACCTAAATTGTTTGAGTGGTTTCGATTTGCTCTCTTTGAGGCAAGGCAACTAATATTTTGAGACTAATTCTGATAGTATGGAAATTTTCAAGGATCACTTCTTCTTGGTCATTCCTCTTAGTCCAGAGGTGCATGTGAATATATGTTACTTAGAGCACGTCTCTTCATCCGCGTGCACATATGTCTTTTTGCAAATACTAAACTCAAAGACACTATTTAACGGGGGCAGGAATGTATCGCTACAGAGAAGGGTATTTTTCCCAAGAGGATTTATACTTGAAAAACCAGTTGGTGGCCTTTTTCCACGAGCTTGATTATGTTGGTGGAGTTGTCCTGTCTGACATGACATCTAGAAACTGGTTAAAAAGGTGCATTTAGAACCATTGGATGTAAGATTCCAAATCGAAGGAGAAAAAAGAATAATATATTTGGTGAGTGGCCCTACGGTTTTGTCCTTTTTGTTTCATCTTCTTGACTCTTCTCTGATATCCCCCCTTATTGATTGTGTAAGGTGATGAAAAGCGGGGATGTTATGTGGCAATAAGGAAAAACCTTATGGTTGATGCTGCTTTGGTTGGAATTCCGAATATGCTTTCTGTTGGGGGAGGTTCTACCTAGAGTATGCCTGCTAGGACACCTTCCAGTTCAGTTATAGGGTAGGTCGTTTAGATTATTCCCCATTATGCTCAAAACGAACTTCAGGTTTCTCCTAATAAAGTTGTAGCCGATGAAGTTATATTAT